CAGGTGGGGGACATTCCAGGCAGAGGAGCAGCAGGGACGGCAGTACCGAGGTAGTGCTGCCAGCGGCATGCTCCAAAAATAAGGGGCTGACTGCTAGAGGATCCGTGTTGGAAAATAATGGGAAGTGTATTTGCATAGGAGGCGGGGTCCGCTCACAAAGGACTTCAGTTCCAGGTTAAGGAACCTGGCTGCTAAAACAACATTCGCGACATTTCTACAGCACTTACTGCTGCCCAGGTACTGTGCCTCTCTGGGAACCTTGAAGGATTATGAGCTGAAAGGCCTTAGGAACAAAACAGTGCTTGGGTAAAGCTCAGGGTGAAGGTTATTGACAAGTAAGAACACCCGGCACCAAACGCATGCCATGTCTGAGGAAGCATCCACCTTGGAAGTGCCGTTCTCTGTCTTCCTCAGAGGCTTTGCAGCCTCGCTCCCCGCGTGGATGAAAGAGAACTTAAGAGAACTTACCACATGGTTACTGAAATCACTTGTGTCTAAGTCCCCCACCAGGCCAGTCCCTTTAATTTCTCAATCCTCACCACTGGTCACAGTGTCTAGCATATGGCACACCCTTTATAAATGTTTATGGACTAAATAAGGTGTTTTTTTTCATTAAATATTTTGGTTCGTAGTTACTATACCAACTCAGGTGACCCATTTCCAAAGAATTAGAATGTTGAAAAATGAACCCTTGTAGTAGATTGTTTGACAATATTTACTCCCTCCACGGGAGTAAAGAAGTATATACTTCCCTGATGCTTGATTTTGGGCTCAGTGAAATGACTTACTTTGGTCCCCTGGATGTCAGCAGAAGTGAAACCGGCAGGGGTTTGGAACTGCTTGCACATTCGGGCTTCTGCTGTTGCCATGAGAATATACCTTGGCCTGCATAACGGTTGAAGGTTGATATAAGACATTTGGGACATACTCCAGACCCAACCTGCTGCTTGGAGACACCCAGCTGAGATTAGCCCACCCAGCAGACCTGCGGAAGAGTCAGCAAAAAATACATGCCTACGATGGCATGGCCCTGAGATTGCGGAGTAGTTTGTTACATAGCAATAACTGACAGATACAGCCCTGTACTAAAAATGCCCCAACTATCATTTCGTTGTCCTTTGTTCGGGAAGGGAGTCATGGGCTCTGGTTTCAGGCTACCTTTGACCCTCAGTTTCCTCATCTGTAAAACCTGTGCAGTTGTTACGGGGCTTGAATGAGAGAATCCAAGAAAAGCATTTAGCGCAGCCACTGGCACGTGGGAAGTGCACAGTACGTGCTGTTGCAGTGAAGGTGTCTCCGGGCCTGGGGGCCCCGTGTGGAACAGCCTGTGGGGAGAGACCACCCAGTACCAGAGCGTCCAGTGACAGCGTTTACCGTGTCCTGAAGCACGTCCTTCCCCACCTTCTGCCAGAGAGCGAAGGCACCGCCGCCTGTTTATCACAGTCAATTAACTGGTGACGCAGCTGTCCTGGCGGAGGTAGAATCAGTGTCCTCGTCTTGTGTCCTGTGGTGAGAGAGGCTAAGACGCGGGTGAGAGTTTTAATCTGCTAACGCAGGGCTGTGGCAGGCTGCCAGCAGGGCACTCAGCTCAGCCTCGCCTCCCTCCCATCTGTCCTCACTCCTCATGGACTCTTAACGCCACTGAATGCTAACGGGCAAAACGCGCAGGCCTGGAGGGGACCCAAAACATGGGCAGCAACCGAATGGAAGCTGTCTCAAGAGATCTCTGCACGCCCAGGGTTCATCCACCCACCATCCCACTCAGAGCAGTTTGCTTTTGTCCCATAATAGGATAAACTATTAAAATCTCTCTGGACCCCACATACCGTCACAAAAGGTTACAGAGAATTATGTCCAAACTTCATCTAATTCATATACTATGACATCTCAACAAAGAGCCGTGTGCAGACATAGGCTCTGGAGGCATCTCGCATTTAACTAATCTGCCAGCTTCCAAACCCTTAGGATCTGGTGATAAATTCTGCAAATACTGGTGTTTGCACTATCCTCAGAGGAGCAAGAACCTACTGGTGTTTGGCAGGGGATTGCAAATGTTGCTGGAGGCCCAGCTGAATCTTAGAAAACAGAAAACAACCTATCCCACGTTATATAATCGGGCCGGGAAAACATGTTTCATATTAGAAAGGCGGCCGGCAGTTTCCCAGGACTCAGACAGAGATCCGTGCTTTTTGTTTGGCCCTGGTCCTGCTGAAGCACTTAAACCTGTCTGCCTCTCCTCATCTCTCAAGCAAAGACACACTCAGCTGCCCCTCAATGGCTGGCATGCCTCTTTGTGTATTGTGCTGTGTCTTTCGCTTGAGAGAGGATGGATAAATATCAGAGCGTGAGATTATTACGCTTCTCAGAGAGGCTGGAGCGAGCAATACCATGTTTCTAACACAAATAGGAAATGAAAGTGAAGAGATAGCAAGGTCCTTAGAAGCAGGCCAGGTCCACACAAAGGTGCGAGGTCACCAGCTGCATAACCAAAGAGGCGGTCCCTTTAGAGTCTGTCCTGCCTGTCCCTGTTCCCAGGCAACGCCAAGGTCCCCAGATTACCCTCCGCTTCATCTTCACCAAAACCTCTGGGCCCCTTTAAGAAGCACCCCAGCCTGGCCTCCCCTCGCATGGCTGGTCACCCCCACCCCTTCCTGCTTAGCATCATTTCGCAGTAATGCAGTGACCGGGTGAGGGAGGAACTGCTGGGTGAGTGGAATTGTGCTGTAGATACGAACATGGGCTGTGGGCAGTCAGATGCAGGGTCAAATTCTGGCTCCTCCACTTGACCCTGGGCAAGATACATAACCCCTCTCCATCGCAGTTTCCTCAGCTGTAATGTGTAGGTAAGAATACCCCCATCATAGGGTGAAATAAAAAATATATATGGACCACACTCGCGCATGCCCAGAGTGCAGTAAGCGTGCAGCAGAATTCTGGCGGGTGGTGGGTGGATGGGTGCGTGGCAGAGCTGGCTTCATCCTGCGAGGTTGCACAAAAGCCCTGCACTTGGAAGGCCCTTGCAGCTGGTTTAATGCTCTGTTTTCGCTCTATTGAAATCCTTCATCATTTTTGCACATGGAGCCTCGCATTTCCATTTGGCACTGGGCTCTGCAAATTATGTAGCCAGCCCTGCTGGGCGGCCACATGGGGTCCAGCTGCAGCACTTAAGAAGTCTTTGCCATCCCATAGTGTTATAAGCCAAAACCCCTGCATGATGTCACATTTTGGTACTTTTGGTAATTTCAACAATGATACCACGTTTGAAACAAAGTCAATGATGGCAATATTTTGTACTAAACTAGAGCTGTTTCCTAGCAAGCTTCCAGGTATTTGTTTTAAAAAAAAATGCAACCTCACCACTGGGGAGAAAGCTTCTTTCCACTCCTTTCCTGGCGGAGAGAGTGCAGTCAGGGTGAGCCTGTCCTCCCCGACCCTCTTCCCTCCATTGGGGAGGTGGTGCACTTTTCGATAGTGACATCAGTAAGCTTGGGGACAATGAACTGGCCACGCTCAGCTCTGCTCCTCTTGTCGTCTTCCAGGGGAGGAAGAGGAAGTCAGTCCCAGGTGACCAGGAAGGTGAGTCTTCCTGATTCTTGGGTTCAGTTTGGGTTCAGTGTGAGGAAACCCCTTTGGCTTTCACACTGAACCTGCCCTTCAACTGGCCTCATCAGCAACAGGAGTGCTTTCATCTGTGACTCCACCATCTCACTCCTCCATTTGTTCCGTTCTTGGCTGGGAACAGGATTGCTATGCAATGGACACCCTCAACAACCCTGACAACCACCCAAGGCCCTGCCACCCATCTTGTGACTTAGGACAATACTTAATTAAACCACCTCGCTAAAAGATTAGTTTACCATAAGCAAGTGGTCTGGGTGTTGAGGAGACAGACAAGTCAGCTATGAAGAATTCGTGCAGATGGTGACTGCAAAATGAAGACCTATGTTCAACTCCTTTCCCCCACTCTAGAGGAATCAAATTGAATCTTTTACTTACCTCTTGCAAAAAAAAAGAAAAAAGTTCATTTATTCATTCTGTTTCTATATAGCAAAACTGAATGTCAAAACTATCTTCCGTCCACGCACATAGAATCTGCATGTATTGGTTGGGGGTTCCTGTCCTCTAAAGATCGAGCTACATATTAGTTTTACAATATAAATATTAATACTTGTACTACCTTAATGATAAGGACTCCTTAAAGTTCCATTTGCTAATGATTAATACACGGTTTGGGCTGGCCAGTTTTTGTGCATGCAGCTTGATGATTGAGCACAGTCAGCCATTTGTATTAAAAATGAAAAATGAAAAAACAAATTCAAAGCCTATTCAAATGGGTTCCAGTTCGATTTGTTTAGTATAAATTATCATAACTGGTTTACTGAAAACAGACACATTTGAAATTGGATTAACTCAGGATGACGTGCAGAAAAATGAGTGAAGGATAAACTGCGGAGATGTACCCCACTGGTAGGATGGTCCTCTAGTACTTCCGTGTGCTCCGACCCACGGTGACAATGACACACCTTGGTGGCATGCCCGAGTATGTTGTTTTAGCATTGTCCACATGGTACTAGAGTGAAATGGGTGTTAGGCTGTCACCGTTCACACAAATTTTTAACGAGAAACCTTTACCAAGGGAGCATCTTTGGACTCTCTGTTTTCAAACCTTCTGATCCACGACTTGGAGCTGGCAGAGTAGGCTATGGGCTATGGACTTGAGCACAACCATCATCACTGCTGTTCAAGAAACTACAATTTGTGACCATTCCAAGTTGTAAATGCTAGGTTTGTTTTTTTCTAATACAAGACCATTAACCTTTTTAAAAAAGTAATGTTTTATGAGAAAAATAAACACAATTAAAGATAAACTTAAAGCAAACGTGATCAGGCCAAGACCAGGAACCCAAAAAGTTAATCAATGTATTTTTTTTGATCCTTCTGTGGTTCATTTTTGTCTGTTTATTTTGCTAAAAACAAACAAGAAAACTGCTTGTACTTACCCAGAGTATTGGTAGCAAAGTTTTTTTTTTTTTTTTTTGCAAGTCCATCTTCTGTGAGCTCTTTTACTGACCACACAAACTGCATTATTGATGTAGAAATTACAGGTCCCATTTCAAAATAAAGAAAAATAGGGCCAAAGAATCTGTTTTTAAACTCCACACCTCTTACTACCCCACCACCCAGCTCTTCCCACCATTCAAGTGGCAATTCTGCTCAACTGACATTTTATTCCAAACCTCTTCCAGGAAAATGCCATTTGTGCAAAATATCATACTCAGCCATAGAACTGTGCAAAGGTATCCAATTAAGAGGCCTCAGCCGGGCAACTTAATCCACAAGAGAGTGCTTTGGAAATTCCTCCAGACCAGCAATGTCCAATAGAAACATCTACTTTTAAGTTTTCTAGTAGCTACATTAAAAAGGTAAAAAGAAACAGGTGGATTTAATTTTAATAATATATTCTATTTAACCGAAGATATCTAAAACAGTATCATTTCCACATGTAATCAGGATAGAAAAATATTAATAACACATAATTTTTTTTCACATTAAGTCTTCAGAATCTGCTAATTTTTACACTTATAGCACATCTCAATTTGGACTGACTACATTTGAAACGTTCCATCGCCATAGTGGATAGTGCAATCCCAGACTCTCTGGCCCAAATGACATTTGAGAGCACATTAGAAACTATCTGGAGAGAAAAGCAGCTTAGCTAAAAGTGGAACATCTGCAAAGAGCAGACAGGGCAGCTTCCACCTGAGCGTTCCCAGGCCCTCTGTGGGGTTGCACGCTGATGTTGTTACTAAAAGATTCGCTGGTCTCCAGCAGGTGCTCCTTGGGACTAAACTTTTTATTTTTCCCTGAGCCTCCAATTTCAATACATCAATCCCCAAATCTACAGAACTCAGGAACATCAATATACAAATCATTTTATGAAAAATGGAACATACTCATCCTCCCACAATACTCACCCAGTGGGTGGTCCCTTCCTTTCCCCAGAAATCTAACCAACATGCTGGATTTCCTCTTCAATCCTGAGTAAACTTAATTACATGAATAGGCCCAACCATCAGAGATTCTTAGTAAGATTCTTACATAAAGACACACAAAAACATATCAACCCACATCCATAAAGATGAAAAATGTGCAGACAGGAGGTTTTTCCTCTACTTATGCTTACAATGCTCACCAGAACACTGAGTTTATGTTCCTGCTTGAAATTTTCAACAAATATCCAGATTTTCTCGAGATCGGACAAGTCTACAAAGTGTAGAAAGATGTTCTCAGTCAGAAAGCAAAAAATGTTATAAAGCTTTTTTACAAAAGATATAAATTGGTATTTTTTAATTTAAAAACATGGTTTTAAAAAATCATATACTTCAAAATAATATAAAATGAAAAATAACAGTCCCACTCTTCAGAAGTAAACTATTGTTTACAGTTTCTTGTGAATCATCCAGAAATATTTTAAGCTATACCATATATACACACAATTTAAGATATATATGTATATATATCCCTCTTCCACACAATAGGATATGGCTATGCATTGTTCTACATCCTTCTTTTTCACTTAACAATGTATTTCATTGTGCTAAGAAAATTCTCTAAAATTTTTTATTCTGTTGTGATAAGAATATTTAATGTGAGATCTACCTTCATAACAAAATTTTCAGTGTACGATCCATCATGCTGACTAACTAAAGTTTTACGCCCATTGATTAGTAACTCCCCCAGCTCCTGGCAACCACCATTCTATGCTTTGACTCTATGAATTTTGTATACGTTGGACATCTCATGTAAGTGGAATCATGCAGTATTTTTGTATTTCTGGGACAGGCTTATTTTACTTAATGTCCTCTAGGTTCATCCATGTTGTTGCAGATGGCAGAATCTCCTGTTTTCCGGCTGAGCAATATTCCATTGTGTATATATGCCACGTTTTCCTTATCCACGCATCGGTCAGTGGGCATTTAGTGATGATTCTACATCTTGGCTGTTGTTGAATAACACTGCAAAGAACGTGGGAATGTGAACAGTTCTTTGGGATCCTGATTTCAATTCTTTCGGATAAATACCCAGAAGTGCGAATGCTAGATCATATGGTAGTTTTATTTTGAAATGTTTAAGGAACCTCCATACTGTTTTGCATAGTAGTTGCACCATTGTGTATTCCTAGATATGGTGTACAAAGATTCCAGTTTCTCCACAACTTCGTCACCACTTTTTTTTTATAGTAGCCATACTGAGAGGTGTGAGGTGATATCTCATTATAGTTTTGATTTCCATTTCCCTGATGACTAGTGATGTTGAGCATTTTTCATATTCTTGTTGCCTATTTACATGTCTTCTTTGAAGAAATGTCTATTTGAGTCCTTAGCCCATATTTAAATCTGGTTATTAGTTTTTTGTTATTGAGTTGTAGGATTAACAATAGGTTTTGGAGATGTTTTTACAATATATAAACCTACCCTATTCCTTTTAATGGCCACATAATAGATAGTTGCATGGATATGTCATAGTTTCCTCTTCCAGTAATTTAGGGATTTTTGTCAATATTTTGCTCTTAAGATAATACCTTAGGCTCATGATAAATGTAAGATGACAACTTCCTCTACAGCCCTCAGTCTTTGCTTATGGTGCGAATCGACCTCTGCCTTGTATTGTGGTTATTGCTGGACACTGCTGCCTCTCTAGGAGACACAAAACTCTGACGGAGGAACCATGTCTAAGGCCCCCTCTTCTCTTACAGCAGTACACACACTCATATGCATGCTGGATGATGAATGGACGTTGGTTGTTTCAACCTTTTTCTGTGTACCCAGTACACGAATCTAAACTTGCATTCTTGACATCCAGCAAATGCAAGCGCAGATGGCAGGATCTCCATCTGAGCATCAGTGGATGTATGTGACTTATCACCAATCCAGGGCAGAGATTCTTGCTAATGCAGAGATCTGGGTGCTAAACATACAGATGAGGATTTGAGCAATAGCCACAATTCCCCTGATAAACCAGAAGAGCCCTGTGCCCTGCCTCAGTTTCCCCATTAACTGAGCCATAGAACCCAAAGCTGTAGTCAAAGTTTCTTTCTACTGATCTTAAAACATACCATTTTCTCACATTGAGACAAAGGCTCAGGGAATAAGAACACAGAAGCAAGTCCATATTTTCATGATTCAGAAAGTCTATGATCGGCTCGAATACCATATTTGGCTTACGCCTGGCACAACTGAATACTCCTTTGCCTTCAGAGGATAGGAAAGGTATTGTCTGTACAGGACTATTATCTTTAAAATGTGTGTGGAGGCCCTCACCCAGCCAGAGCTGACGCAGGCTGCTGACTCATGCCTGCATCAGCCAAGAGCTGTATCAATGACTGCAAACCGAGTCTAGATACCTAATCCTTTCATTCGCCGCAACCACCTAGAACTCTCTCACACCTGACAGCGCTGCGAGGCGCATATACAAAATCCAGGTTCAAAAAATCAACAATGAAATTCAAGTGAACTAAAACCAATTCTGCTTTGAACATTCCACAAGCTCCCCGAGCTTTCTAGAAGCACCTGTAAGTGTCTCAGAATGAAAAGAAGTAGCAGCAGGGAAGAGAGAATCCCTGTCCTACACAAGTCGACTGTGGAGCCTGCTGAAATAAAGGAAAAGACCCAGGAAATCATCTGTCTCCCTCTGGGACAAAATAGGAAGCCAGAAAGCTCCCAGGAGAGGACACTATGGCCAGGGGAAGTAGCTGGGAATGGGTGCATGTGTGTAAAAATCCCGACCTGTGGGTCCGCACAGTGAAAGGCTCACCCTAGGAGACACTGTGCCCCACTGAACTAACTCTTTACACCCTGGGATACAAATGTGGTTATTGCCACTGAACCAAACTCAACCGGGATCCTTTCTGCAGGCGAGCCGCCATCTAGCAGCTGTGTGACCCAGAAGTCCTGAAGTGACATTATGGAAACTGATCTCCTTATGTCTGAGCAGTTCTCATGATGAACAAAAGGTAAACAGCACAAGAACGTGCTCTCACAAGTAGAAACTACTAAGGAGGGATGAGCCAGTATTTAATACTCATGTTGAGTACTCAGGGAACCGATCATGCTCGAGAAGCTGGAGATCCATGTTGGCCTGGAAGCACTGGGGAGTGGAAACCCCTGTTTTTGATCTTGGTGTGTGATGTGGGTGGAACTGTTCCCCCACAAGACAACAGGGACTTCTGCAGCAACCTCAGCCACGGCAGGAGGGTGGCTGGAGTGAACATGCTGCCCAGGCACCTGTACCGCTGGGATCTTTCCCTCTAAGACCCGTAACTCCAGTCTAATCATGAGAAAGACATCAGACAAATCCCAACTGAGGGACATCCTTTAAAATGCCTGAGCAATACTCCTCAAAACTGTCAGGACCTCACCAAAACCTCAGGAGTCTGAGAAACTGCCATGGCCAAGAGGTGCTAAGGAGACAAGATGACTAAATGTAACATGGGATCCTGGGTGGAATCCAGGAACTAGGGAAAAAATGAAGGAAATGTGAATAAACTATGAAGTTGAGTTAATAATACCGCACCAATATTGGTTCATCAGTTGTGACTAATGAACCACACTCAGGTAGAATGTTAACAAAGGGGATACTGGCTGGGGGCAAATGGAAACTCTATTATTTTTACAACTTTTCTGTGCATCTAAAACTATTCTAAAATAAAAAGGTTATTTTTTTTAAATGTTGCCCACAGAGGAACCTGCCAGACAAAAGTCTGGAGCCTTCCATACAGGCAGCAAGATGGGGACAAACTACAACCAAAGGCTTACGAAGGAGCGTCCACCCTGGTTCTGTCCTCCAGGCCCCTTGGAGCCTCATGCCCAGTGGATGGCTGAGCAGGGAGTTTGCTTTACGATAACGAGCATTCCTTCCCCAAGCTTGGGCCACGCACAACCTCTCTAGAAAGGTTACCTTGGCATGATGTTTACTCCTCCATACAACCACACACCTGATCTTACCAAGCCAGTGTGTGCAAGAGGCTCAGACTCCCATGTGACTGTAAGTCTTACCTGGGGCACAGCCTGCCTGTGCTCACCTGACCCAGACCCTCCCGTCCAAGGGACCTCTGCTCTTTGACATCCACCTAACCATGAAGCCAGGACCGGCCTCTCCAGTGCCTGCACAGCTCGACCACACACCTCTGCTGCTTCTGGGAGCTTGCAGGCTTCCACCGCCCACTGAGAAGGGCCTAAGCACTGATTAAAGAGAACTAGGGAACTTGTAGCAAAGACTGTAAGGTTAGGAGTGGTAATAGTATTTGCATAAACAACAATAAAACCAATAATAATAATAGCTACTCCTATTGATTGAGAACTATACGTGCTTATGACATCCTGAGCATCCCAAGTTGTAGTCCTTATCATGTTATTTGAGCCAGGGCCTAACAGAAACCTCTTTCAACAGAAGGGATTGAATGCAGGGATTGGTTTCCCAGGCAATGAAGGAAGATAAGAACTCAACAGGGATTGGTGATGTAACCCAGAGATTAGCACCAACAGAAAGCTACTAACAGCTCTAGGCTCAAGGAACAAAGGGAGAACACAGTGTGACCTGAGCCCAGGAACCAGAAAGGACAACCAGAGAGGAGACTCGGCTATCACCAGGGAAGACAGCATCCTGGTTTCCCGCCTCCTGCAACCAGGCAATTTCCCCTAATATCCACCACTGGCCAAACCCAGGGAGAAGCTGACTCAAGTAGGAGCTGGAGGAACACACACCTCCATGCCATCAGCTCCCCAGCCCATCCCCACTGTGCTGCAGAGCAGAGCAGGCAGGCCCAGGACAGGCACGCACGCTCCAGAGAAATTGCCTGTTAACCACCCGTATCCTACGCCAGACTGTAGAGCGCTGCATCTGCCTTGATCACCTCTGTGTCCCCAGCTCCCAGCACACTGTCTAACACACGGCTCACACTCAAATACATACTCAAAAAGTAATGTCACCCTATTTTTCTATGAGTAAACGGAGGTCCAGGGAAGTTGAGAATGTTGCCCAAGCTCACAAGGCTAGCGAATGCAAAACCAGGACTCAAATCAGAGCACCGCTCCCGCCTGGATGCTATGCTGTTTGCCTGGGGGCTGCCTGCCAGTGAGGGACCAGAGGAAGCCGGCAACATGGCTGCCTCATAAACAGGGAGGGCAGCTGGTCCCTGGTAGGGCCTGGAGAAGACACTGAGTCAGGGGAACCCCAGGCACTAGTATCAGCTGACAGGTGCCCTCAGCCCTGGATACTCCAGCTGATGCGACTTACAAACACAGAGGAGGAGCAGATTTCCTGTGTGTGCTCAGATCCCTGCAACTCCACCTGCGTGTGTGGAGTGAGGGGGCAGCAGGCCAGGGCTCATGTTCTCCCCACCCCAGGGCACGCGCTTGCTCCCCGTTTTTGCTCTATCCCCCTCCTAAGGATGGCGAGACTGGATATCAGGATAGCTTGGTATCGTAGACAGAACCACATCATCATCTTTCTCCATATAAACCCCTCTTTGAAACCGTGTGGGCCGCACCGCAGCAGGCTGGGATCCAGGCAATGCTCCTCCTGCCCGTGGCCTGAGATTAGTATTCGTGGTGCATCTTGTAGCGGCACAACTGCGAGTGATCAGCAGGCAGACAGCCAGCGTTCAATCTCGAGAACTGCAGCCCGCAGATCGCAGCGGCGCTCGCACACATTAGAGGAAGATTTAGAGACCCTCACACTCGCCTCACACTAAGCCCCTGTAAGGCCTCTGGTGGTGCGAGATGGGGATTTCTGTGAGAAGGGGAAAGGAACAGCCACTGGCTTCGAAAATGTTATTGCAGAGCCGATGCAAAATGTTTCATTCTAGATTGGGGCATTTTTCTCCCTGGCCAGGATCCATGCTTGGGGCGGGGTGGCCCCTCTCCAGTCCCCTCCCGTGGGCCCCCAAGTTGTGAGGTCTCCTGGAGAAGGAGGCTCAGAGGAGAGAGGTCAGAATAGAATGAGGACATTCTTTGGTGACAGTGAGCAGACTATAGTGACAGACCTTGGGGCCTCCCCAATGTCCTTCCTCTCCACTTGACAGCGGGGGTCAGGGTTTTCCATCAGGGCCAGCCTCATGGTTGCTGGATGAATCACAGGAGAACGATCTGTTCAGCAGCACAGCCCCACGTTCAGGAGTGAGCCAAGCACAGGCCTGGTTTACTGCTTGGCCTTTGCCGCCTTGAAACTCTTAATAACTTTTACATGAGGGTCCTGCGTTTTCATTTTGCACAGAGCCCTGCAAATTATGTAGCTGATCCTGGTTCCAACTCTCTCAGAAGAGGCAGATCTGAAAGCTCTGTTAGAAAGTAGCTCTCTCGGCTGGGTGCAGTGGCTCACGCCTGTAATCCTAGCACTTTGGGAGGACAAGGTGGGAGGATCACTTGAGGCCAGGAGTTTGAGACCAGCCGGCTGAATGAGAAAAATTAGCAAGGCATGGTGGCATGCACCTGTAGTCCCAGCTATTCGGGAGGCCAAGGCAGGAGGATTGCTTGAGCCCAGGCGTTCAAGGCTGCAGTGAGCTCGGGTGGCACCACTGCACGCTAGCCTGGGTGACAGAACAAGACTCTGTCTCAAAAAAAAAAACGTAGCTCTCAAGACCAACATGCTGGAAGGCCACTGGGTCAACGCATGGTTTGGTGGCACCTGAGTGACCCTTAATGCATCTCACTGATGTGAGGTCCCTCTAGGGTGGAAAACCTGGCAGTGCCATTATCCAGTGTAATGTCCCTGCAGCAAGGATGGGCCCCTGCCTGCTGGCCTCCGCTGGCTTTATGGGCAGCCAGGGCCCCCACTTACCGCGGGTCAAACCTAGCCATTCAAAAGCAGGGCTCTAGCTCTTCGTTGGCTGAGGCTATTTCTGAAACAGAAGCACAAACACAGACCACTGCCAATGCCAGCAGGGGACACGGATAGGAGTCCAGCCCACTCACAGTTGACCACCGAGGCAAGAAACCCCAGCAGGAGGGTGAAGAGCAGCTTACCTGGTTACTGCTCTCCCCACCCCCCCATGGATGATATCACCTTTGGCACCTTCCTCTGGATCATGACAAACCAGGTGAACTGTGCCACCTGCTGGAATTCAACAAAACCATCTGTGAGCTATAGCTAGGGCTACAGAAACCAGCTTTTCCAAATGAAAAATTAAGGCATGTGGGCTCACAAAAAGAATACCTGAAATTGAGACTATTCTGTTAAACCCAGATGGTTGGTCCCCACTGTTAGATGGGCAAGGGCAATAGCGAGGGTGATACTAGAACCTTCTCTCTTGCCTATCTGAGCTGATTGACAGCACATCTGGGATAATGTCCTGATTTTGTTAAGGATCTGAATACATCGAGAGTAAGAGATGTCGATCTTGGTCCCTGCTCCGCCCCTAGCATCCAGCACAGTACCTGACCCAGCGGGCTCAAGCCTGGCTGCACTTTAGACTTACCTGGGCAGCCTCTGACGCTCCAGATGATGGGCCCAGGCCTGGGCACGTTTACAAGCTCCCCAGGGGATCTACTGTTCAGCCAGAGTAGAGAATCACTGGCCCAACACGTAGCAGGGACTCAATAAATATTCCCTGAATGTCGAATCGATAGATGGCCCTCATAGTATTCCAGCAAATGCCGTACCATCTTCAATCAAGGTCCATTTAAAGGAGAATGCCTTGGCCGTGGCAGTTAAGGAGCAATCATTATGGAGTCTGCTTTCTTCACTAAAACTTACCCGCTTTATTGAATGGGGTGTTTCACGGGAGGCTGCTGGGGGACCTCACGGCCAGCCCTCCCCCTCCTCCTCCCCGCAGCACTTCAGAGTGCTCCCCGTTGCTAAGACACAGCTAATCCTCTCCCTGACTTGGCAGATAATTAAATAAAGCTCCAAATGATATAATATTCCCCTGGAAAATGCCTAACTTTGTTTTACAAGGGGAAAAAAAAAAGGAAGCATCTTGAAAAGTGATAAATCCCCAATCTATTTCCCCAACTTGAGCTGGAACATCAATTTTTCCCGGAGAAGAGGCTCTAGAAAGACGTGGCAAAGCCACCACAGAGCCGTTTGGTGACCCAAGGCAGGTGAGGTCATGCAGGACACTCTGGCATTTACCCTGTGGAAGCCTTCAGCTGACTGAATAATTTACGGGGCACCCGGAAGGGCAGGGCAGCAGGAGGCTGCTCTAAGCCTGGCGGCCGGACACCAGCAAGGAGGAAGCTAGTTCAATGCACTCCCCTCTCCAGTTATTTTGGGAGCATTGGTTCTTAACCACAGTCCACGCCCCAACTGCGGTGGACTCCAGGCTCTCCCCAAACCCCCTCAAGAAATTCTCATTAGAAGACATGAGCTAGACATCAGGTGTCCATAGGTTTTTTTTCTTTGTTGTCGTTGAGTTCAACTGGGCATTCTGATCACCAGAGTTCACTTGAGCCCCTCCCTGCTCTTCATCAGAAAACCCTGTGACATGTGGGCGGGACCCACGCTGTCCTGTGAATTAATTAAGTGCTGAGGGAAAGGCTTCAGTCCAGTAGCTTGCTCTATCCACCCCTAGCTCGAAGCTCAACGCACAGCTCAGAAAGCTGGCAGCTGTGCCCACGACCACAGGATGGCTGTCCAGGACTTCCTGACCTGCCTGTGACGCAGGGCACCCTCCTCCGTGCGGACCAGCCGCAGCCTGGCCACAGGGCTCCGTGGACATGCGGGTTAGCAGGCTGCTCACCTCACCTGGCTATTTCAAGGGCAGTTGCTTTTCCAATGTTCCCTCCAGTGACCAAGAAGACTATTCTAGGAACTTGGACTTCCAGGTCATCAGAGACAAAGTCCTTAGATGCTGATTCATAGCCACTCCCAGAAACAGGAGACCCATGGAAAGGACAGCTGTAAGGAGCTGGGAACACAAGCCCCTGCAGGGAGAAAGCCTAATTCTGGGGTTGCCCTCTGCCTCTTCCAATGCATCCCATAGCTCCTTCCTCCCTCGTTCCCCTCACTTCCCTCCCTGGTCTCAAGAACAACACCATCTCAGGGCCTACACTTCCTGGACCATTGTCTTCTGAACTTTTAAAAATATTTGGAGATTCCAACATTTTGGCATCCAGACTCTCTCTGACTGCCTCTGATACTGGAAAGTGGTGCAGACACACACACACACACACAAATTCCTTGACAGAGGGATTGTTTTTTCCCATTTTGGAGTGAGGGAGAAGCTTAGGAGACCATTAGCATCATGCTTACTGCATCGCAGGACAGGTATCACTACCTAATTGGAGAAATGGGGGAGATTTGCAAGTAGCGAATGAAGAAAGAAAAAGGTAGAGTTATTTGAGCTTTTTGCACCCCAGTAGAAGAAGCCAGGGCTCCTTCAGGGCTACAGGGTATGTGCTGCACAACTCTAGGGGGTGCCACTCGGATCACAGTGATGGGAGATTTGTATCTGCATTGTGACAATTTTCCGGCAGATGACAGCAAAGCATGCTGTAGAAGTGGTGCTTTTGCTAATTTCCACAAAGGCGTCATATTGGACAGATGCAATCCTGAATTCTTTGTTTCTCTTTCCCCTTCCTTTTGAGATACCTCTTCTCTCTCTACTTTCCTAGTATTTCCTGGTTATGAATTGGCTGAGGGCAGTGGTGGCAGAACGGTGGGATTGGCAGGAGGTGGCCCTGAGGGCAGACTGTCCCCACACTCAGGCAGGCTGGGTTCTCAGAGCTTGTATCTCCACCCACAGAGCCAAGAGATTTCTCCCCTGCCGCGCAGACACCCTGTTCACACACAGACCGCTCACCTGTCCCACATCATGGTGTGTCACAACTGCCAGTTACACGCCCTGGACACTCGGGGAGGAGGCCAAAGGACGTTTATGAGCTTGGGTTTGGTCTGGAAGTCGCTGCCACAGGGCAGGCATCCCCTCTTGTCTCCGTCAAGTCAGGTGTTCTTAAGAGAATAAGAAGAATGTCCCCGTTCCCACCGTCTGTAACTCACCATCTGTAACACCCGGGGCAGCTCAGAGGACACCCTACCCACTGCTTCTGCTGTGAGTGGCCCAAGTTAGTGCGACAAGCAAGACCTCTTATTCCAAAGCCTTCCTGAAAGGTTGACTTAAAACTAAAAATAATATCAGTTAACAAGGGCTTGAACAACCTGGGTTTAAGTCAGCCAGCCTCCTAGTAGCTGTGTGTTCTTGTGTGTTGACTTAACCTTTCTGAGCTCTTATCTAATCGTCCACACAAAGGGGGATAATAAGAGCTGCCTCTCAGGCAGACTGAATGAGCTGGTGTGTATAAGGCATTTATCACAGCACCTGGAACATATTAGGAGCTCAAAAAATGGTAGTTGCCACCATCGTTATTATTAATAAAAACAATACCTTTCATGTTCACAATTGGGCTCACTTGGCCCCCAACCCTTCAAATCAGTAGGCACTTTGAAAGCATTTTAAACTACAAAGAGGAAGCTAGAAGATTTTTTTCCCCCTATGAGTGCAGGTGAGTCCTGGAATCACCGTGATAGGCTTTTCTGGTAGAGGCAAGGGGTTCCCCAGAAAGAGCCATGACTAGGGGCCTCGCCAGGCGAAGGCACCGTGGGGAAAAGTGAGAGCTTCCTAAACCACAACATAGCCAGGAAAACGGCAGGCCACCAGAACACGCGTCGTGGGAAGATCCCCTCTTCTGCGGCAGGAAGCTGAGAGGCTTTTCTCGGTGACATCCAGCTAGAGGAGACATTAGCCTCTGGGCTACCACGTTTATCCATATTAGAGGCGAATGTTTGCTGAGAGCGGCTCCTGTGGATTAAACCTCTTCCTCAGGCTCTGTGCTGGGAGCGCTGCCAAGCGGGCAGTGCCAGCCTGGCCTGCAGGACACGCCCTGCCCTCCTGCTGTCCTCCGCCTTGGCTCTGTGCCTTCTACGCAAGCTTTCCATCCTGGTCCGATCTGTTGTAAATAATAAGACTTGGCTTTTACGTATCCTCCTGCCCCTTCTGGGGGAAGCATTTTATCTTCACAAACTCTTGACATGAGTCTATTTTTCAAATGCAGAGACATAAATGACTTGCCTAAGGTCACCAGACGGGAGGTGATAAAGCAAAGGGGGGTTTCCATTCTGCAACACCCAGGCTGACCACCTATGGGCAGTCCCCAGCCAGGCAGCATCAGCGTCACCTGGAAACCTGTTAGAAACGCCTTTTCTGCCCCTGAATCAGACACTTGGGAGTGGGGCCTGGCAATCTGCGGTTTCACAGGCCCTCCAGGGGGTTTGGATTGAAGCTGAGGGGACCGTGGTGCTTAGCAGTTTCCTAAACCCCAGATGCTAGGAACTGCCAGGGAGCAAGCTCACAGGCCTAGTGTCCCTCCTTCCCCAACTTACCCAAATATGGAATTTGCTTAGGTCCCATCCACCCCTGCCAGGGGCTTAGGAGTCTGTTTAAAACTGTCCCAGGGAATTATTAGGTTAGGGGCAAGTTTAGGAAACAGACTGGATCCTGCAGCCTGGGGGCCCAATATAGGGAGGCTTTATAAAAACCCTGCTGTGCCAAGGGAAACACTGTAAACCCTAACTATGGGCTCTCACACTGAAATCAAAATGGGGTTGTTGTCTTTCCCTCCCATTCACTAAATCCACAACAGCCAGGAAACCAGCCCAAGTTTGCCAATTCCCTTCTCCTACCCTCCCCCACACAATTTGCTGTGGTCTGAGCCCCTTGGCCTGACTTCTGCCTTCCCTCAAGGTGGGGAAATCAGGATGAAAGAGTCCCAGGAGAGATTTTTATAAGCCTGCTTTCCCTGGGGGCCGCCCCTGGGTTGGAAGCTGACTCAAGCTTCATGCTGCCTTCTGCACAACGTGGAAAGATCCAGCAACTAGTGGTCACTGCCAGATCACACCCCTTTCAAAGAAAGAGGCTGCCACTGTATTCGCCCGTGTCCACCGTTCTCTGCAGCAGACAGCCTTAAGGCGGGTCTGAACTTTTCCCAGAAAAGATGTGGGGTGAAGAGAAGGGAGCAGCAACTCCTGCCTCTCCTAGGAGTTCTGCGTTGTGCCCTGGGATGATGGAAATCTGCCCAGGCTGCCTTAGGAGCTGATAAAACTCTAGTGCAGGGAGGAGAGGAAGTCTCAGATGAGAATGACCTGGAGGATTTTTACAAATGCCAGTCCACGCCCCAGGACAGCCCCACTGACTCAAACTCTCCATGGGCGGGGCCCGCAAACTGGTACTTGAAGTTCTGCCCCTCATGATTCTAATGTGCAGTCAGAGTTGAGACCCACTGGTTAGCCGAATTCATCTGAAGATTAAAAATCTCAATCTCTCTTCCGCCGCAATGTCTCGCCCCTTAAGCCCACAATGAGGTGGAGAGCAGACTGGGGCGCGTGGGGCGGCCCGCGGCCGGAGCCAGCGCCACGCACCCTTCCCCGAGCGCACACGCTGGGTGCACATCCCACCCTCGCCCTGCAAGCCAGACTTGGGAAGTTTCCGCCGGAGGAGGAAGTCGCAGTCCACGCGCCGCATCTTCTAGGTACAAGAAAACACACCCAGGAAGGTACTAAGACAGACTCTTGGCTAGCGACTTAGCCTTAGCCCTGCCGACGCCGCCAGCAGCGCCGAGAACAGCTCCCGGAGTAGACGCCCAGGAGCGCCCCCTGACGGCAGCGGGGCGGGCTCGTGCGCAGCCAAGCCCCGCCCCTCGGCCGCCGGCCCCGCCCCTCTGTCTCCGGCCCCGCCCCACGCCCACCCACGGGCTGCCAGACCGCGGGCGCCGCTGTTGCTCAAAGCTCGGTTAGTTCGGACAGCGACATGGCGAAGGAGCGGCAGGCGCGTCCCCGCCGGCCCTGCGCGCCCGCGCCTCGGCGAGCCGCGTGACAGACCGTCCCGCCCCGTCCGCCCCTCCCGCGGCGGGTTCGCGTAGCCCCTCTGCGGGCCGCACGGCGCTGCAGGGACGCGGGCCCCCTCCCCGGCGCGGCCTTCGCCCCCGTCCCGCCCGCCGTTACATCATCCCGGTTATGTAAGAGCCGCGGCTTCCGGGGCTTTGCTCCCCCGGGAAGGCGGGGGGTCTCGGAGCCGGCCCGTCCGCGCCGCCCCAGCCTCAGAGGCGCGGGGGGGAGGCGGTGGAGTGGGGGGAGAGACGGGCCCTGCCGTGGCCGCGCTCGAGGGCGCAGAGTCACCGCGGGGTGGAAGCCGGGTGTCCGCGCGTGTGGGAATGCCCTCGTGCTGCACCGTGCTGCGTATGGCCGGGATGCGAATATGGCCCGCAGCGCACCTCGCAGGATTTGGTTACCTAGAAAATAATGCGGAATAAAAAGGTGAACCTTATGATGTTAAAAAAATTTCTCCATCTAATGGGTTTCATCATAAGGTCATTGTAATAACTAGCATCCTCCAAGTTCCTACATGTATTAGTCGACACAGTGCCCTAGTACATCTCCCCTCGCCAGCAGGTGCGGTCAGGTTGATGAAGTGCGGGCAGTGACACAGCTGGCACGTGGCAGGGATGGCGCTCCCACCCGAGAGGTAATTCTGTCTCCAAAGTCTAGACTTTTGCTACTAGTTCTGCAACTTCAGGCAGTGCCAAGGAGGGTCCCCTGATCTCCGCCAAATCTTCATCAGCCTCCCTCCACCCAAGCCCAAATAAACAAGCAGTGTAAGCAAGAAAGAGAATGGTTGCTGCGTGAACCCAGATCTCAGACTACTCATCTGGCCCCATGCCAAGTCTTGTTAATGTAGGACTCACACCCCTGGCCACATCTGACCTCCATCCCTAAAGCCACATTTGAGATGGGTCTTACTGCTGTCCTCAATCCCAGACACTTGGTTAAATTCTGTGCTGGCTTACCCAAGTCACCCAGAGACTGAGCCACTCTTACATAAGATGTGCGGAGGACGGCTGCTTTAATGGCCTCATTACTTAGGACATAGGATCACTGCCCACCCCCATCCCCCAGTGGTCGTGTTTCTACTTCAGAATAACTTTTGAAATAAATCTCCCTAGAACAGCTTGCTCTTCAGAACAAGACTCTGAAGTTCCACTGCGTTGCTCTTATTCCTGGCAGAGTGATGAAAGGAAGTTTTAACAAGTGGCATTTTGCAAAACCACCCAGCCTGGTGTGACTGTCAATGCCTGTCCGGTTAGGCTGGGAGAATATTTTAGATCCCTAGGGTTACACACTGTGCTTTGTACACCCTGCTTTGTGTCAGCGATGGAAAAGGTGCCAGTCTGCTCTGAATCTCTCTGACCACCTCAGGAAACATGCTTTTGGTTCACACAGAGGGGGTGAGGAATTGTTTTGAACCACAAAGTCTATTGAGGGTGTCAGCAGCTCTTGAAGTAAAAGGGTGGATGGAAACCCAGCTCTCTCAATTAGCCATTGAGCCCGGACATGCAGCATAACCACTAAGTCTTAGTTTTTTTATTTGTAAAATGAGTATGAATATGCTTACCTTGTGAGGTGGTTGTGACGATTAGATTTATTATAAAGAGCTCAGTATCATATGAAGTGATCAGAAGGGTTCATTTCCCTCCTTATGCTTTCTTCTCACTCCTTTCCCCCCCTACACTTACAGCCATGCAGTGTACATTCAATAAATGTTCCATGAGTGCATGAAGTGTCCAATGTTTAGCCTCAAATAAACAAATATCCGCAATGTCTGCACTATACACACTTGCACAGGAGGTTTTAAGAAAAGCCAGCCCCTGTCTCAAAATGAGCTGCCACTCTCGCTTGGATGACAAGTAACACCTACACAAAAACAAAGGGTAGCATGGAGTTAATGGGGGGGGGCAGAGGGTCAAGGAGCCAGCTGAACTGGATTCTATTCCAATTTCTGCGATTGATGCCCCGTGTGATCTGGGGTAACAGTGCATTGAAGGCTTAATGTGTGCCATGCATTGTGGATTATAGCACTTAATCCTCGCAGTGACCTGTAAGGTTACTCTTGCTATTATCCCCATTTTACAGATGAGCAAACTGAGACTTAGAGGAGTTCACAGTAAATATATGGCAGAGCCAGGATTTGAGGCCAGGTACTATGAGTCCAGAGCTCCTACCTTCTCCACTGTATCACACTATACGGGGGGCAAGTCACTTAGCCTCTTTGGGCCTCAGTTTTCTCATCTGAACAAAAAAGAGGGTCAGACTAGATGATGTCTGGGACCCCTTCCAGCTCTAATTTTTCATAAGTCTAATAAGAAAACTACATAAAGATGTTAATTATACCCAAGGCACTTTTAAGAGCAACATCGAAGGGAGTATGGTTGCTTCCTTCATTTCCCAGGGGTGGAAAGCCTCTAACATATTTCTTATGTGTCCCTGGTTCCAATTTGCCACTCAAAAAGCCAAACAAAGAAATCATCCTTCAAAGCTTCCTTCCAATTGATTTGAATCCCTGAGGCTAATTTTGACCAAAGTAGAAGGAGAAGCAGAAGGTGTAGACTAAGAAATCTATGGCTGCCTGCACAACAGATATCCATGATGGGAAGTCTGCATCCTCTTGCGCGCGCGCGCACACACACACACACACACACACACACACACACACCAGTATTCATATCGCCTTCCACTGACGCTCAGTACCAGTTTCTCTAGCCAAGTTGTCATGGCAACACCAGCTGCCAATGAGATCATGGAAGACAAGGTCATAATGGCAATGATGCCTTCATATTTTACCTGGCAAAGCCACTTAGTTAATAAGATGAATAACTGTAAATCATAAATCCATAGGAAGCTAAGCACCATTCACCGTACGTGTTTAGTGTGCGACTTCGGGTGGGGAATAGAGATGAAAGCAGAGGGAAAGGAACAAAAAGAGAGAGAGCGTGAGGCAGGGGGTGGGGAAGGTCTCTGCTGCCGATCCGTGTTATTCCTCAGTGTAGATCATGCACAGGTGCTGACCCTGCCTGTGCATGGATTAAGGAACTGGGCTCTTCCTAATGACAAGGAGGGAGGGGTGTCACAGGCTCCCAGCCTCAATCACACAGGCTTATAAGAAACCCAAGGCGACAGCTTCCTGGTGTTCGCACTCGCAGAGGAGAGGAGCAGCCCAGGGATGACGGTAGAGGACAGCCCGCTCAGTGGCTGATAAAGTCACCGTGTGGTGACGCCTTTCTGGTGGCCTCCCTGCCTCTCTTGATGACATCGCCTTGTACAGACTCACTTGCCCCAGGGTTGTCTGTTGCCCATCTGAGCCAACTTCCTGAAGAACCAAGCAATTTGAGTTATAAGGGTTTCCTTCCTTTCACAAGGAGCTAATCATAGTGTGGGCCTCTGGTGAGAATTTTGCCGGGGGGAGTCGAGGTGGGAGACTCCGTGTACACTGCATGCCCTTGTGCCCTTTGATGTTTCACCGTGTTCGTGATTCACTTATTCAGACAACAAACATGCAAAGATCCCCCTTCCCTCCCCAGCCTTGTCTACCCTCCGAGGGCTGGACTCATTGGCTGTGAGACGGGCCAAAAGTGTGGCCAGAGTGACCCAGGTAGATCAGTCCCCAGCCGCGTTGATGACGAAAATGATTTCCCACAAACATGGCCCGTGTTGGTCTTAAACTCTTATGAAGTCTGTTTCTCGGCTTTTGTTTTATAGCAGGCTGGTTCTCTTCCGAGGGCAAAAGCAGCAGGTTTTCAATGGTGGCTCTTGGCAGGAGGCGCTGGGGGCGTGACATTGCCCCCGGATGTTGCCGCAGCTCACCTTCCTGTACCAGCTGGTGCCGCCGCTGACCCTGGGACAAGGGCACCATCGCGGGCGGGAGCGGGGTGCCCACACAGGGTGGCGCCCTGACGAGAAGGGGATCCAGTCGGAAGACCCACATTCAGCGCTGTCGCCTTTCAGAAAAGACATGTCACCTCTCTGAGCCTCAGTTTCCCCTCCACTTGGGAGTGTAACTGTACAGGCCTCACAGCACCGTAGTGAGGATGAAGTAAAGGAAAGTTTCTCTTCTTTAACAAACACACTCCACACACTATGTGCCAAGCACTGTCCTAACCTCCTTACAAATGGGGGAAACCAGGCACAGAGAATTTAAGCGGCGTGTGTTCGGTCACAGCCACACATCTGGAAAGGGGCAGAGCCAGAACTCTGCCTGACCGTCTGGGTCCAGAGCCACACGCTGCAGGCCCTTTCTGCAAGGACCGGGGATGTCCCATGGCGGCTTCTCCTCAGTCTCTTCTTTCAGTAACTTCTGTGGCGCCGGGAACTTCCACTACAGTCCCCTCGCCTTTTGTGGTGGGCTGATTTGTTCCTGGGTGTGACTGGGCAGCTTGTGATCGCACGGCTCCCTCTGCCAGCTCTCCGCCTACCCCCAAGCCCCAAGCCAGAGGCACTCGGAGACGGAGGGCGGGCATCGGGACCTGCACTCACAGCCTGGGAGTGTGTGTCCCTGCATGTGCACGGGTGACCAAATGACCCTGTGTTTCGGCTGTTTAATATTGGTCAATGCTGTCATTCTTCAGAGGCTTGGGAGGATAAGGAATACATATATATATTTAAATAGTGCTAACATACACATGACATAAAATTTACCATTTTTAACTACAGTTCAGTATTAAGCACAAGGTGATGGTGCAACCATTACCACCATCCATCTCCAGAACTTCTCATCTTACCAAACCGAAACTCTGTCCCACTTAAACACTAACTCCCCGTGCCCCTCCCCTCAGTCCCTGGTAACCACCATTCTCCTGTCTCCATCAGTTTGATTCCTCTAAGTGTTCATACCTCACATAAGTGGAACGATACAGTATGTGTCCTTTTGTGACTAGTCTATTTCAGTTAGCATAATGTCCTCCTGCTTCACCCATGCTGTAGCACATTGCAGAATTTCTTTCCTCTTTAGGGCTACATAGTGTTTCATTGCGTGAATATACAACATTTTGTTCATCTGTTCATCTGTTGATAGACACTTACATTGCTTCCACCTCTTGGCTATTGTGAATAATGCTGCTATAAACATGGGTGCGCAAATATCTCAAGACCCTGCTTTCAATTCTTTTGTGTATATACTCAGAAGTGGAATTGCTAGATTATATGGCAATTCTATTTTTAATTTTTTGAGGAGCCTCAATACTGTTTTCCATAGCGGCTGTATCATTTTACATTCCCACCAACGTTGTGCAAGGGTTCCAGTTCTCCATGTCCTCACCAACACTTGTTATTTTCCAGGTTTGTTCTTTTTATTTTAATAGTAGCCATGTTAGCGGATGTGAGATGGTGTCTTGTGGTGGTGTGTTATTATTTTTTATGTATCTAAAAATACATGTAATAATTTCTGCGATATTCAAGTGCGACCTCCGCCTCGTATTCATTGACTAATATATCTTAGTTATACATACACACTCACATCATATTCAAAGGACAGTTTGATCCTTAGGTATGTGGTTTTGTTGTTGATACTCACATTCCTGGGACTATAAGGAAGAACATTTAACCTAATCCACCCTTCTCTCCTCTCAGGAGCTTAATCCACTGTTGGTGACAGGTGTGTCCTCAGATGAGTCACATGCCTTAATCCAAAAGGTTCTGCAACCAGCTTCCTTGGGACTTCTGGCTCAGTAGAGGTTTACTTAGGTACACAACAGGAGGATGGCAAATATTTTCTCAAACTGAGCTCTCAGTGGTTCAAGCGGCAAAACGAGATTTCACGTTACTGGTTTTCCCACTTGGATTCCCGGAAATGACAGACCATGCCAGCTACAGGGAATGTCTGTTTTCAAACGAGTCTTTGTCCCTTTTCAAACTGGTAATGCTTGGGGCAGATTTCTGCATTGATAATGAAAAGACATCCATGATACAGGAGTGGAAAAAAGCAGGTTGTAGAAGAATATGAATATTGCTCTACAGTCTGACATAATTGATGTAAAATGCATATATTTATGCTTAAATATGCATGGCGTATTCCGGAAGCATACTAAAAACAAACACTGGGAACCTTTTTGGAGACTGGGACTGGGGGTTGAGGTGGGTCTTGAAATCTTTTGCGTTTTACTTCATACCCTTTGACACTGTTTGAATTTCTAGCCATAGCAGGTATCACTTCTGTAATAAAAACAAAGCTTTAAAATAGTCATTGTAGGGAAATGCAAAGCATTATAAAAGGCGATATATGAGTGATTTCTCTCATGCCTCCTGCTGTGGAGAAATGACTCGGTCTTAGGCCGGGTTCCCTGGAAGCGGAGTCTGAGATGGGGCTTCATGTAAAGAGATGTGTCAAGGGGCGTGGTCTCAGGAAAACAAAAACGAAGGGAAGAAGGACAAGGAAGAGGGAAGACTTTAGCTTCCACCTGATTCCTGTGGGGAGCTCTGGAGCATGGATAACACCACAGGGTTGACTCGCCCTGAAACAAAGGGGTTGGGCCTTCTCTCCCTCTGCCCGGCCAGTCCCCAGCTGTGGGTACCGGCTCGGGGAAGGAGAGTGGTAACTCCCAGGCACCCCTCGGCAGCTGGATCCAGTCAAGCAAGGACAGGCCCAGGACAGGGTGCAGGTGTGAGCCATCAGTGGCCACACCTGCTGCTGGGGGCACTGAGCTGACAAGAGGGATCCCAAGGGAATCTGGGCCACAGTCCCTTTCCCTGGTGACTTGGGAATCGAACCCAAACTGGCTTCCTTATAAACAAATTTATAAACTGTAAATTGATTTATGCAATGTTTTTCTGTCGTTCATTTCTTTTTCTTCTTTTTTTTTCTTTTGGCCATGGAAAAGTACAGACTATACAGGACATTTTAGAAGCTGGAGTACTCAAATGAGGAAATAGAGATTTTAAAAAATCCGTTTAGAAGAATCCAATCAGACGGCAAGAGTTTGGCAATTGTGGGGAAATCATCAGAAGGTTGTAGCCTAGATGCTGGCCAGGGAGGGGCAGCTCCGGAAGGAGGCAGTGTGTTCCAATCTGGCTACTGATGGCTGCAGAGAAGGCTTTTTTTCTCTTTTAATTTCATGGACAGTGTATATCTTATCATTGATTATATCTCCCTTTCCACTTTGCATTTGAGAAAATTCAAAGCCAGATTTGAATCCAGGACTAAGTGACTCAGGGAATAAGGCCAAAGGGCAGGGGTTGCTCGGGGAGGGTGTATTGTAAAGCCTAACATTCCACGGGCCGCCTTGACATCTCTGAGCTTCACAGGGGCCCAAAGCCCTAACCGTGACTTCTCCTGCCCTCACCAGATACGCCCCTGACCCAGTGGGCGAGGCTCCGCTCCTGGCTAGTCCCCCATCGGTCGCACTGGCGGCATCTCGCCCAGGCACCAACCTAATGGGTTTCACTCCCTGCCAGCCTGTAAAATGACTCAAGCCTGTCACATCCCCCCATGGAATCCCCCAGTTACTGTACCCTCTTGCTACACACAGCGTGGCCCCCACAGCCCCTACTGGTTCTCTCTGCTCCTGGGGGCAGCCCCACGTGGCCCTGCTGGTACTGTGTCCCCCTCCCCTGGGCCGCGAGTCTATGTGATTAATAAGCTGCTGTCGATCTCATGTGTCCAGTGTGGGGGGTCATGTGTTCAGCCATCTTACACTATTTAGGGCAGGGACCCCTCCCTCAGCAATGGGGTGATATGATGTGATCAGAACACAGACACGTTTTGAGTCACAAGGGTCTTTAGGAGCCTAATTAGAACATGCCGTATGTGCAAACCCTTAATACCTTTCCTTTGCCCATGAAGCAGAGCTTTACTTCCATACCCTGCAGTAAGTTTTAAACTTTAAAAGTGATGTCACAAAGGAAATGTTCTAGAGAAAACAACATATGCATTTGAAAACACTCCCCTCTTATTTTGCTTCTGCTTGCAATGGCAAAATGCTGTCTCCCAAGATACCTGGGATAATTTGGCTGCTATGATACTAGGCTAAGAAAGGCAATCTATTGAAATTCCATCTCTATAAAAGAGAGGTTTTCTTCTTAGTTCTATACTTATAAAAAGAGAAATTACCACTACAATCACTAAGAAGGATTTCCTGTTAATTCATTTTTTCTAGGATCTCTACTACAGACTCATCTGCCCACCCGAGGATTTTGAGTTTTACAGAGCAAAATTTGCCCAGAGCAGGCCCCTGGTGGTTGTCAGCTTCTGTGTACAGAGTCTGTACCCTCAAGAACCCACTGGAAGAAAGAAAAACAAAGCATCCCAAGGACTGGAAGACTCTCTTCCCCCAGGGTATTCAAGGAAGACACTGGGGAACAAATTGTACGAAGTTTATTCCTTCAACAGTGAAGCACGCCCACAAAGAAAGGAAGCACAAGATCCGGTCATACGAAAACGAAAGCTATTGACCACTTTGCCTCTTTTCATACTAAAATAGGTGAAATAACATGAAGTACTGAAATGACATCATATTGTCCTCATGGCGACAACCACGATAGGCCTGACGTGGGTCAGTCCACGCTTTATTCGTGGCCTGACTGCACACGTGCAGTTCTCTGGCCCACCGAATCAGAACCACTGAGGCCCCACGAATCAGGATTCCTGGGGCCCATGATTCTGCATTTGAAACAAACCCTGGGTAGTTCTAATTCCTCACCGAGGTTTGGAACCACTGGTATGGCTGATGCCAGTGAAATGGTCCCACTTTTACCACTTTCAACTGCCATTTCTATAGACTCAGGCAAAGAATGACTTTTAGAATGATGCCCAGTGTAGCAAATAAAATCAAAGGACTTCCACGTATAGCTTATCTTTGCTGCAGTCTTTTTTAGGTGGGAACAACTGATTGTCCCTCCCGGTCATATGGATTTGTTCCCTTG